AAATGTGCATATTCGTAGATTATGGAATTTTTAATGAGGTAGATGACTTTTTAAGGATTTTAATGTGGAAATTATACTTTTATTGCATGCAAAAAAACACATCACATTTGTTTTATATCAAGCTGTACAAACTGTGTTCAGTGTTTACACACTTTGTTTGCGGATGGTTTATCCAGTAATATGCAAATGCTTTTAGTCTCTTTCTTGCTTTGTCTCTGTGTATCTTTTTTTCCCATGCTCATAAAAATGTAATGGCAGTTTTGAAAGTCTTCCTTGTTGTTGATGTGTTTTTTGTGAGATTCGAGAGTTATCTATACAGACGCTGCAGGTAGCCTTCCATGTTGTCGCCGGCCATGTTTCTACAGTAGCCCAGAACGGACAAACCAAACACTGGCTCTAGATAGGACATTCACAGTTTCCATGCATTTTGCCGCCACCGTAGTTTTTCTTTTGCACTTGGAAGGAGAGGGTGAAGATTCAGTCTGCAACTACACCGCTAGATGCCACTCAATCCTATACTTTAAACATAATGATAACGTAACAGGTTAATGATAATGTCACGTTGTCAAGATGCTTTCAGAACAGACTCAAATTAAGTATCTATAATGTATAACCGCTATGGCAAATGCTTAGCAATAAAGTATACATGACCCCTAAAGCAAAAACAGCCTGCATCTAAAATCTTCTCCTGACAAGAAGAAAATGTTTTGGCAAACAATAAGCCCTTGTAATGTTTAGGCATCAAACATTACATTTAAAGGTGGTTAATATAATATATAGTTATGACCTCTCAAAATAGCTGGCTTTGGGATGCTTCAGTGTAATATCAGTATCAGACAAACAACTCACATATCACTAATCCACTTTCAGTTAACTGCAGCAATAAGAAGTACACAATCAAACCTTAAAATGGGTCCGGAAATGTCGGGTACAATGCCAATAGCTGTTTTAGCGACAGTATTAACGTGTTTTCGGGTGGATTATTCCTGTAATGCACCGACAGGAACAAAGCTGTAATATGCTTGCGTAACAAAGCCTGCCAGCTGGGCTTTGTAAAACTCTGTTGTGTCAGCCCACATTTCTCTGCCGTAAGAGAGGAGGCTGAGGGGACCAGAATAGGTCTGTGCTCATGAACGACAGCAGAGGAGCAGGACGAAGCTGAGCCCACCACCACCCCCAACCCACTACACACACACACACACACACACACACACACACACACATATACTCACAGAGGCTTTGTTACAGAGAAGCACGGACATGACTCATCATAGTTTTGAGACTTCAGGCTTAAATTTATCCACTTTGATGTTTACATCTGTCACTCATCTGCTGTGATGTGCTGACTCTGTGTGGAGCCAGATTATGTAAAACAACACATGGACCCTTGAGTGGGGCTCATTATAATGAGTTATCTGGACGACACATTCTTTCTTTCTTTTCGCTCTGTCCTATTACGTTTAGTTAATTCAAGTTACCCTTCAAATGACACAGGAAGCTCTGTGTGTGTGTGTGCCGATTGAATCTGTCAGGAAAACTAATTTCTTTTAATATCCTGATTTTGAATAAATGGGGGGTGAAGGACTGTTGCAGATATTAAGTTAGTATATTAATTAAAACTCATATTTCATTGACTCGACCATAACTAATGAATTTCATTAATGCTGTCAACAACTGAAGGAAGAATAATATGAAAAGTCTGATGTAATTAGCATATGGCCAAAGCTCAACATCAGTGGCCGACCTCCAACTAAGCACATTTACTCAAGAATCCTACTGCAGTGGTTTTCAAACTTTTTCACACCCCCTAAACTGACACAGTTAAGTAGAATGTGGGCACCCATTTTATACGATTTTATCCCAGGGTCCCCCATCTGATAGGATTTATTGGCTTTTAGATGTTTTAGTACAGAAAGTGTATGAAACCTGTGTCTGTCATTGTGTTATTTATGGATGGAGTTATAGTGAAAACAAACTATACCCCCAACAATGTCGTGTATAGTAATAATAATACTATATAATAATCAATCAATACTTTAAGTTTATTTAGCTGACAATACTTCTGCCCTCTTACTTAAATAGGATTTTAAATGCAGGACTTGTACTTGGAATGGAGTATTTTTACATTGTTGTACTGGTGCTTTTATTTCAGTAAAAGACTGGAGTGCTTCTTCCATCACTGACTGTCAGTTTCCAAAATATTGTGCAAAACCGTTCAACAATCCAGTGGTGGAAAGTAACTGAATACATTTATTTAGTACCTTACTTAACTACAACTTTCAGGTACTTTTTACATGCTACTTTCAGCTTCTACTTCACTACATATTTTAGGCAAATAAATACACACAGCGGTATTTACTATTTTTTAAAGCAGCAACAAGGAACTTTCATTTTGTGTGTTCTAGCAGTCCCTGTAATTGTGGTCAAAAGCCAAATCCAACCCGGCGGTAGGCAAGAATAAGTATAAGAAACCAATCTTCTCACCGATGGTCTTGTTTGTGTATGTAGGTCACATAGAGGCTTCAGTATTAAATTGAAACTGTTTCATAACCAGCTAAAACTCCTTGTAGTGCATTTAAATAAAAGATCTGAGTACCACCACTGCAAAAATCATATAAAGCTGTAATGTTTGGATGTGTCCACATACTTTTGTCCTTGCTGTGTACAGTAATATTCCTGGCCCGGTATTTTTGAGTCCACAGTAGTCCTTCCTTATGACAGTGAAATTCCTCACAAACTGCAGGCATGCTTGCTGACTCAGGAAGATACAGTGATATAGAGAAGAGAAAGTTTTTAAAAAGAGCTCCGACACTCCAGCTAACATCTAAGGTGACCCTGAAGGTAGCAGGATTTACAATTCCGGGCCCACGCTGCCTCGCCTGAACAGCGTGATGCAACTGGGGAGGTTTATCGGTGCCTTGAAAATAAAATTGACATGATAGAAGTGAGGGGAAAGCTGGACCCTGAGACTGCCTTAATATGAAAGGGTTGGATGAGGTCTCTGCCCAGAACTATGTGGGTAGAAGTAACATTATTTGGAGTTTCATTTCAAGTGTAGAAACATCGTGTTTACTCAGTTGATTTTGGGAGTGATTTATTAGCTAAATTAAGAGTTTATCTACCTACAGGGGCTCAGTTGATCCTTTTAAAGAAATTAAACATAATTTAAAGATCTCTCACAGCATCTCTCCAGTATTGAGTTAAAAAGCATCCATTGCTCACTTAAAACTTTGCAATTCTACATCTCAAGTGACATTAAGTTTGTCACAGTTAGACAGCAACTGACAGATTAGACTAAGAAAAAAAACTAACTGCAGCTGAACAGCACCAAAATCTTGGACAATTGAGTGCTCAGCAGAAATTACTCCCGGAGGATTAAAGTAATGCACTGTCACGAATAAGCCTATAGAGAGCAGTGGAGCACTTTGTTCTCACACATCTCACTAAAAGTCTACCTCTGGGGGTGATGTGTGTGTGAGGAGAACGTTTGTTCATGTCCATCCAGCTTCTTCTGGGAGACAACCAGCAGCTTCACGTCAGGATGAAAACATGAAACAGGCAGTCATGATGGAGTGGTAACACGACACCATTAGGACTGACAAGAGAGAGAAAGAAAAAAAAAGCATAATTGATTCTGCTATTATTACAGTTTTATGGTACATGAAATTGAATCAAATGATGCATAAATGTGCTTGGAGGAACCAGCATGTTCCCACAGAGGGAATGTTGGGTTGGTTGGCACTAGTGAGGGATTGCGGCGAAAACTGTTCATCCATGTCTCTTTGCACCGAGCGAGATGAGTAGAAGTGTGCGTTTGGCAGCCGATGTGCATCCTGATATCATGGACGATGTGGCACATTGTAAATGAGAGGAGAACAGCTTGAAATTGATGGCAGGCCGAAGGATAAAATAAGACGAGATATTTAACACTGCCTGCCTGACTGCAGTGTAGGAGGGAAGGAGAGAGAAAACAGCTAAAGGCCCGATACATCCCTTCAGCCCTCATTAGGAAAAGAGAGAAGCAGTAAGATTTTGTTGTAAATGGAGGGCTAAGCCTGAGAGCCAACTAGACTTTAAGGGCCAAACGCCTCTGGAGGTTAACACACACACACACACACACACATTCTTTAAAGGAATAGCTCAACATTTTGGGAAATACACTTATTAGCATGCTCTAGAGTTAAATTAGAAACCAAGGCCACTCTCTTGTTAGTATGTTGAATATGAATCTAGAGCCAGCAGCTGGTTAGCTTAGCACAAAGACTGGAAACAGGTGGAAACACCGATCCAGGCTCTATCTAAAGGTGACAAATCCTCCTACCAGCACCTTTAAAGCTCACTTTGAAAAAAGAAAAAGATTTGTTGAGGTTTTATGGGGGGTTAAATGTCAGTGAGTAAGTTAGCCTGGCACGTAAATCCCTGTAAAAACATGTCATTTTAACACTTCAGTATTTGTATGGACAAACAAATAGGATGCTAATGTGAGCTTTAGTGGATGTGGACTGTTACCTTTGG